TGAGGTAAGCCTAGAAGATTACCTACGCGCCCTCAGATTTTCCCTGACTAGACCCCCCTTGCTCTGGGCACACTAGCCAAGGCTTTGCTGGACCACTGGGCAACTGGACCAGTCGTATCCCACCCGCTGGACACCAACAAATGTAACAACCCCAGACCTACTGGAGTATCCCACCCTGTAGTTATGCTGCCACCAACCATTCTGCTGTCTCTCTCATCTAAATACAGTAACTAGACAAGCTGACCCTCAACTAGACATGCTGACTGGGAATTCTGGGAGCTGTACTCCAAAGAGATTGCCTGGGGGATTCGGGGAGGTGGAGCCCTCCAACTGAAACAGTGGGACCTAGAAAACTGAAGCACCATATTGCATTTTCTACCTCATGCATCTGGGTAGGTTCTACCTTGGCAGGCTACACCTGGCTGATTTTGGATGCTGTCAGAAGAAGTTACATTTCTATCCCATGAGTACTGGGCTGAAAATTGGGGTGGGGGGGATAGAGTAAGAGAAAAAGAGAAAGAAGTCTTGCAATGGGATGGATAGGGCTTTTTTTACACTGGTACAAGCAGGGTCAGTACTAGGATGAAGTGAGAGACCAGTATGAAAAAAAGAATGTGTGGGGCAAGAGAGAGGTCGCCAGGGCTTTGAGGGTGGGATTCATTAACTCAGGCAAAGATGGGCCTATTTACTCATTTTAGAAGTATCAGTTGCTTTTTAGAATGTGTTCCCCTCTCCTATGTCTCAGGATTTAATTGAGTGATTTGTACAGACTAAAGCACTCTCAGTTTCATGCACGTTAGGAAATAGTACACATAAATTAAGGCATCATCATCATGCAGCCGAGAGCTTGCTCTTCCACAGAATCTAGCTATTGCAGTGCAGGTTGAACGGGAACAACTCTGTTCTTACATTTATTTTCTGAATTAGAATATCCTTAACTTAAGGAATGAACAACAACTTTGTTGTAAGATTAACTGCAGAGTTAAGGAATACTGTACAACATATTGGCCAAAATCCTATTGGCCACACATTTATACTGCAGAAGCTGGATGACATCATTATCCAGGTTAGTAAAATTTAAACTAAATTAACTGAAAGCTTCCTATCCCTCCATCTAGTTCCGAGGCTACCTAGGACTCCTTTTTTTTGCTCTGAGGAAGCCTGTGGGAGGCTCAAGAAGTGGAAGTGGAAACTTTAATAACCAAATTCTGCCACCAGATCCTGTGTCTTTTGTGTTGGGGTTTAGAAAGTAGGCAATTCCTGCCTCTTCTTATGTGCCAGGATAAGACTACTGTTTCAAACAGGTTGTTCTACAGAATACAGTGGACTATAAACTGTGTGTGAATTTACACAGAATTGCAGCTAAATTCGCCTCTATGTAAAATTGAGGTGCCCTGTTCTGTTGCGTTGCAGCTCTGCGCCATTATGAAAAACTACACAGATATGTGGCTCCTTCCTTCTTGATGATTCCCCGTAAGTTCTGTGACACAACAGAAAATGATTGCATGGAGAGACAGAGCTCAGGAGAGACAACTCCTGTCTCTGTTCTTGGACACTAAAGCCACCAAAAGCTACATCTCTGGGCGCATTACATTTAGTTTCTGCTTTTCATATACAGTAAGTGGTTTCTACCAATTTATGTAAAGCAGGGGGAGAGGCCCAACTTGGGAAATGGTAGTCAGAACGGGCCTCCCCACTCAGAATCTGTTAGTTACACATGTGAATGTAGCCACAGCCCAGTTTGGTTCTTAAAGGGTCACTTTCTTCCAGGTAAATGAATGGCAGCCCTTCTTAAGACATGGACATCAGTTCTTCTCACCGCTAAAGGGTGAGGCTTTCCACAAGTTACTTCACCCTGTCCAGCCACTTCAGTAAAAGTCTTTAAAAACAACAACAACAAAGGTGCCAAAGCAATAAAGTTAATAAAATGTTTTGCTTGTTTTAAAGGATAGCAAAAATTATTAAAACAAGCAATATTCTTTGCTTAGGGACCAGGACGTAATGAGTAGTTTACTCTGCAGCTACCTGTTAGCTCTGAAGACAGAAGTTCAGCCCACAAAATTACATATGTAACTGTTTGTGGTTTTGTACAGTTCCTGACCTCATCTAAACTATGAGAACTCAGACCGGCACATAATTCAAACAGTAGGAATAGTAATGCTAGTTCTTCCGGAATGAAGCCCTGACTTTCCCTTCACTGCGTTTTCTCTGTGGATATTTGGACACTGTTTTAAAATGCTTTAATTCAGTGGTTGTTTTATTATAATAATACATCTAATTAAGTTTTAATACTATGATTTACTGTCTTTTAGCTGTATCGTAGTTTTTAAAATCATTTTGTATGTTGCAATGGATCCCTGTATTGGGAGAAAAGCCGGCTGTAAATAAAATATACAACGAGAACTTGTATTAAAATAGTAGGAACAGAGTGATTACATAAACGGAATGTACTAGTAAATTAAATTTGGCAGCATTTCAGTGCCCAGACCTCACCGTGAGTGGCTTGTTCCGCTCACAGGAGCAATGAGAATATGCAAAGTTTGTAGAAAGATGAAATCAAGAGGCCCACCCTCTGCCTGTCCGTCCCTTCCTGTTTTGCTCACAGGGCCCACAGCTAGCAGCAGCAGCACACAAAGGATACTTACAGCTTTGACAGGAGCAGGCTGCTGAAGCACGGAAAACGTCTGTGCGCGGAGTGCCTGGGTGTTTGCTGCTGCCGGTGATGTCTGAGCAGAAATGGAAGAACGTCAGCCTCAGGGAGAAAAGGAAGGAGGGTCCAAGCACGCTACTACCTCCTTGGGGGGGCTGTCACTGTGGTCACAGACACATTGCCTCAGCCAGCCAGCTGATCCTGCCCTTAGCAGCCAGCTAAAGCCAGGAAAGTACGGTTCACTACCTACTTCTCTTTTCAGAGGTCACTTTTTCCCCCCACTGCCACAAGCCCCAATGCATCTTGGGTATTGTAGTCCACAACTCTGCATAGTAAATGAAAAAGCTTGCAAGGCACACACATCTGCCGCTATGTGAAAAATCCAAATTAGATTGCAGCTTTCCCTCAGCCCAGAAATCCCTGGTTCTCTGTTTGATAGTGTTAATGATTGTAGCAAGTAATTTTGATAAATGCTTTTAAGATCCTGGAAATAAATACCTTTTCCATGCTCTCCAATCTAGGCTCTATAGTCACATTCCATTTTTAATCCTTACAATCACCCTGCAAAATTGGTCGCTACTTCTGTCTTCATATTTTAGTTCAGGAGAAGGGGAGGAAGCCCAGTTTCAGATTCTGTGAATGTTTTGTTACAATGATTTGAATAATTCATATTACAGTATATTCTTTATGTAAAGTAGGAAACCATCAGCAAGGTTTTTTTTTCAGGATATATAACACAAGCAACAGATAAATAAAAGCAGAAGAGGTGTGGTACCTTAAAGGCGAACCTATTTATTTCAGTGCAAATTTTCATGGATACAAACCCCACTTTTAGAGACACTGGTACTTACTCCCTAAGAACTCTGTTTATGGCTGCATATCTTTGGGCTGATCCAGCAAATCATTTCTTGTATTCTTATGTGTTTGAGCATTTTCACACCATTTGCCTCCTTACGATAGCATCATAATCCAGTTTCATATCTTACAGTACTCCATGATGTTTCCAAATGTTTAATTCTCAGCTGTATTTTTCAGAGTTGTGTTAGTAGTTCAAGCAAGGCAAGATTGGTAAAATTTGATATCTGAGAGCAAAATTCTACTCCTTGGAGAATGTATAGTGGGGCATAGGGAATGCTACTTACTTTTCTACCGCAGGCAATAAAATCTCTTCAGCCAACCCACTTGGCTTTATACGGTATAGAAACAGTAGGGATTATCCTTGCTGAGAAAGAGTATGATTTCCATGCAGAAAAACTTGTGTAGCATCACAAATCTTTTAAAGCAAAGAGACTTGTGGTATTTTAGGCTAGTAATTTATTGAACTAGAACCTTTTATGGACCAGAGTCCATCAAACCTTTTTCCATCATAAATCTCTCAGAGCTTGTCTATGTACGTGGGCTCACTGGAGCAGGCTAAGCAGGGTCACTAGAGGTTTGATCAAGGTCTGGTATTTAATTTGATCTGGATCCTTGCATCCAAATAGCATACATATCTCAAGTGACCCTATTTGGTCTGGTTCCTTTAAGCAAAAATGCAAGGGGGGGAGGAAATCTCCCCTTCCTCCCCTCCTATCTCTTCCCACTTCTGGGTGGAAGATTTCATTTTCTCTCTCTGAAGTGACCCTATTTGGTCTGGCTCCTTTAAGCAAAAATGCAAGGGGGGGGGAATCTCCCCTTCCTCCCCTCCTATCTCCTCCCATTTCTGGGTGGAAGATTTCATTTTCTCTTTCTGATACAGTACATTGCATTAGAGTTCCCCTAAATGGTGTGTGTGTGTGGGGAAATCCTTCCTCCTTTTGCTCCATGGAGGAGCACAGGAAAAATTTATAATTTCCCAATATTATTCCCAATTTCCCCATGTCATCAAGTGCTTAGCTAGTTTGTTTAATCCACTAATGACATGAGTATATTGCAACCAGCTGAGAATTTAAAAAAGGAAGCTCACTTTGGTTCAATCCCAGTGATCAAGTGTGCCGGAAATGAACCAAAATGGATTTGGAATGCCATCACCTCCACTGGCCTTGTTGTTAGCCAGGCTTTCTAAGGCCCACTTAAGGATCGATTTTACCCACACCAAAAAATGAGAATCTCCAGATAGGAATGCTCTGGGGACAGGCTGATTTGCTGCAGCAATTACGTCATCGGACTGCTGGAAAAAGGAGAGAACCAGCCCATCCCCACAGTGGACCAAGTAGCAGGACAAATGCCCACCTGACCATTCCACTAACCTCACTTCCTTATACTGTATAAACTAACATGGCAACTCCTCTGGTAACCTTTTATAGCTATCTTGAGACATTAGTAAATGTGGGTGGAGAGGTCTGTAAACAACCACATATCTAGATTTAAAAATACATTGCAAGTTCCTCATATAAAGCTGAGGAGGAAATAAGCCTGTTTTGTTGATTTGATACTTATTTGCAATTACATGTGTTCAAGTCTGCATTCTGGGAAGATGAGTTGGATAGCTACACTGGAGTTCTGGCATACCAGAAACTGAACCAAAAGTTTAAAGAGCTGAACAGGGAATCTTTTCCGTTACTGTTCATCGCTCCCAAACATGTTTGATTTTAGGAGCATGTTTAAAATCAGGAAGCAAGCCAAACATTAACTGGAATTCTCTCCCCCCACCAAAAAAAAGTAGTTTATTGATAATGTAGCAGAAAAGCAGATATGGTTCCTCCCTCCAAATTATAAGTGAAGCTTTCATGTAAGAACTTTAAAGTAACTATTAAAAAACCCACAGTGCTCCACACAATGTACAAACTGCTCTTCTTACCTTTCAAGACTGAGAATAAATTTTACTAGTGTGTGTGTGTGTCAGGGAATCATATCTCTTTCTGTTATTATTTCAGATAAATCCAGTGCAACCAATTCCAGCCTTCTTCTTAGCAACAGCTAAGTTTATTTCTGTACACGGTGAGAAAGTGCAAGTGAATGAAGCTGAGTGGCTAAGAGACAGCACATGATATTTCTTTGTACTGCACAAGTCTTCCTGCATCAGAAGCTGCAGGAAGAGAGAGTCTGAGTCAGTCAGTGTCAGTGTGAGTGAGTGTTCGGATTGACTTCATGAGCATGTTTCTTCTTCAGTTTCTGCTAATAAAACTGTTAGGTTATTGTTGGGTAAAGTGACTTTTGAATATGATCGCTCTCAATTTCATAACAGTAAGAAATCAAGCCTGAGAATTGATTGCTGGCTGAATCTGAAACGTAAAAGAACTGATGATGTTGATGAGGGTGTATCCTGTTCAAAACAAAATAAAGCTTCTTCCAATCATTTGAAAAAGTGTCACCATTATAGAAAGCTATATCTGTCAGTGAGACCCTTCATGAGAAACTTGGAATATTTGATGTACTTTTCAGGTTTTAAATCTTGAGTTAAGTCTTGGTGGTCCACAGCAACAAAAGATATTTAATGGAGGCCTGTGTTAAATAAAAGGTTAAGAACCACTGATTTAGAACACAGAAAAGGCTATATAATCCTTAAAATTATACATATGTAAAGAGTGGGTGATACCTTTTATTGTACAGTACCACTAAAAAAACCAAGTAACTTGCAGGTTTTTGTGGAGGAAATTCCACTTCATCAGGCTAAGCACCAATACTTCAAAAACTGTAGACAATCTGTAGACATGTCTAGTTTTCCTGCAGTGTCCATGAAGTGGTGGTACTTGGCCCGATGCAGTGGAATTTCCTCCATGAAACCTTGCTATTTGTTTGTTTTAGTGGTCCAGTAAATGGCATTGCCACTCTTACATTCAGGCATTTAAGGTGCATGTGTCAGAAACAACTGCGAGTGCTTGACGCTGCCGTATATATAAAAAAGAGTACTGTGCATAGTGCAGATGGATACTACTATGATGTCAGCTGTGCCAATTCACCACCTTTTTCTTACATCAATCTTAATGAAATATCATGAGAATATACCTAATATTGGTAAGGCACCCACTGTGGCAAGCTTTTTGTGTCTCTTAAAGACCTGTCTCATCACTGAATCCTTTCTGAACTTTGCTACCCAGACTGAGGACTGCTATGAACTCCTGGTTTTAAATAGTGTCTTGTGATTTACCTGAATGAATAGTGAAATAGTCAGGGAATAGAAGTTGGGACAGAGATGGCCTGAAGCAGTTTTTTAAAAGCAAAGAATGTAACATTTATTTATTTATTTCTACCCCGCCCATCTAGACCTATGGTCTACTGTGGGAGGCATTACAAAATTTAAAAACAATAGAACCAATAAACATGCAAAAATCCAAGATGTGAAAATGTAAATACAGTACAGTATTAAGAAACTTTGCCACAGAAACTTTGAGAATGTGCAAGTAGTGCATTGTAGTTAGCAGGAGGATTTCGATGACATAGGTTGCAGGAAAAAAACAAGATGTTTGAGCTTATGGGTGGTTTGAACATGTTTATGAGTAATCTGGTGAGAAAGGCCAAATTGCTCATTAACATGTTTGAACTTGATTATGGGTTCAAATGTAGGAAGCAGAGAAATCCTCCCCCTAACTGTAGTGCACTCTTCCCATTGCATGGCATGGCATCATGGACTTTAATGTGGGGGTACTGTAAAAAAGTCAGAACCACTGGGAATGAGAATTATTCTAGGATATTAAGGATAGGAAATTATAGGAATTAAGATTTTATTGGATTGAGAGGGTGAACAACAAACCAACTGAGATGAAAAAAGAAAGGTCAAGAAACCACAGAAAAGGAAGAAAGCTAGAAAATGTTGGCCACACAAGATTGTCACAGCTGATCATTCAAGGCAAAATCAACCAGAACAGCAATGTGGAAAGGAAAATAATTTTCTAGCTTAAAAACCTTAAACATTTGTTTGGATAAAATGCAACATCATTATTTATAGATATCCTATCTTCCGTTGGAATAGGCATGATGCTGTCCAGCCTCCAAGACGCAGCAGTTCTGCCTTTGGTATATCCACTAAATTGCCTGTATTAAATAAGGCTAGTTTGATTTATTTCGCAATTAGTTTGATGCCAAGTCATATTCTGAGCATATTAAAAAGACAGCAATGCTAACAGAAGTTCACACTTTTTCGCGTTACTGAAATGAAGACGTTTGCACCCAGTTGGCCACATACAGAGAGGGCGTGGAGCGAAAAGTACTAAGCCGAGGCAAGCGTACTTTGAGCACATGTTTACAGTCACTGGAAAAGACAATCAGGTTAGGAAAAGCTGAAGGAAGCAGGAAAAGAGGAAGACCAAATATGAGCTGGATGGAGGCCATCAAGGATACCACGGCTTGAAGCTTCCGAAAACGGAGGAGGAGGAGGGCTGGGGATGGTAGGACTTTTTTGGAGGGCGCTAATTCCCAGGATCGCCATAAAATGGAAGCGACTTGACGAAAACAGATCAAGGAGGCTGATATGAACCATCCTGCAAATCCATTAGCTTGCGTACAATCCCGTCGAGCTTTAAAATGCCTCCAATGTCGTCCTTTTGCTTTCGGAAGGCGAGGGCAAGGCAAAAATAAAATTAAAACCCGCCGTGCCATCTCCAATGGTCTCCTCCGATCCCC